ACAACACTTATACAATAGACATGTTTAATAGCCTCCACATGGCTCTGGTACAGCCACAGTTTTCTGATCCATTACCTGCTCCTGGCCTTTTAAATTCCAGACCAGAGCTGCAACTAGCAAATTATCAACCACTGACCAGAGGATTGGCTGTATGCATAAGAGCCAATTTACACTCCTACTCAGCCAAAGCTCACTGGAGGGCCATGGGCGGTCACCCTCTCTCATTCCTTAGGCCAAGCCTGCTTTGAGATCATCTGCATTCAGCACCTGGAGGAAGAAGGGACCTGCTTGCCAAGCAGAGCCAATTTGCAGTTTAAATTGTTTTCATGTGTGACTTGAATTTTAAGAAAGCATTCTATCCAAGCAGTTGCTAAGTTCCACTTAAACATTTGCACAAATAAAAACTCAAGGAAAGCACAGAGCATTGGAATGCTTTTGGAAAGGCAAGACTTAATGTGTGACTGAAGAAAGCATCATTGGATGAGGAAATCTCAGTACGGGTTCAGAGCGGGACCAGTGTGAAAACAGAAAGCGAGATGGCACAACTTTCATGTTAAGGAGAAAGGGTTGGGAAGAAAGAAGGTCTATGGATAGCCATCTCCTTTCACAGAAGCCAAAGTTATCTTCATTGTTGGGAAGTTATTGCTAGTTACAATACCATGATGATCTGGATAAGCGTTAACCAAACTGAATCCTGGCAAGACAAAATAAATTATGATTAGCGAGCTGGAGAAAGTGTGCATCTTGGGTGTGCTCCAACACATGACTTTGATGCTTGACTCCTAAAGCCACAGCTCTGGTTAGAAACACATTTTACCAGATTTAGATGGTCAAAGAGGCAGCTATAACTTGTCCTCTAGCCAAGTTCTCACCACTGCTATTCATCCAATGGCAAGGTCTTACTTAGATTACAAAAACATGCTCGACATTGGGCTCTCCTTAGAAAGTTAGTAAGCTTAACCAGTTTAAAATGCAGTAGCCCGCTTTTTGGAAATAATTCCAATCCGGAGTCCATTTTAACTGGCTGATATCCTATGGAATATTCTCCCTAGAGAACTTCAGAGGACTTCCTTTTGCATCCACCATCAGCAGCTTAAGATACTTCCCCCACCCAAGCATTTATGTTGTATAGATTTATGGTTGATCTGTTATTAGTCTTGTTTTGAGCAGCTGTTTCAGCTGTTGTCTGATATTTTTATGGGCTTTTAAATTCATTAATGGTTTTTAAAAAAAAACGTTTTACATGTTGGTTTGAGTGCCCATTTGGCTGGAAAGATGATTAAGTAGTTGTATAAATAAACTTGCACCACAGGCCATACTAATATGGCACAAACATACAATTATTCCTTTCATTTATGTTACTACCCACAATTAAATTTACCGTATTTTTCCCTCTATAACACGCAGATTTTTTCTCCTAAAAAGGAAGGGGAAATGTCTGTGCGTGTTATGGAGCGAATGTGTGGTCCCTGGAGCCAAAAAATCAAGCAAAAGTCAAATCGCTCTTCACGGAGAAGGGAAACCTGAAAAGAGGAAGTGGCAGCTTTCCTGTATTCTGCCTCAGGGTCTTACTGCCCACCCTCCTCTGTTTCGTTGCTGTGATTGCTGAAACGGAACAAAGAGCAGGGAAAGCCCCTCCCCTCCAGGCAAGCAGAGGGGAAAGTGTCATCTCTGTGCTCCGGTACTGCTGGGGGAGAGGGAGAGAGAGTGGGGGAGGGAGAGGGAGAGGGAGAGGGGGGAGGGAGAGGGAAAGAGAGAGAGAGAGAGAGATGGCTGGCTTGGGGGGGGAACTTTTGCCTCCCACCCGTTAAATCCCTCTCCAGCATTCTTAGCCAGCTGCTTCTCTGCACACCCCTCTCATGTCCCTTCTTTGTTTTTCCTTCGCTCCCCACTTAAAATGTGGTTACAAAGCATAGATCAACATGGATCCTCAGGATCTTTGCATTGGGTCACCCCAAATTCACCATCAGATCACATAGCATGTACATGGCTACAGCCTGCACCAAAAAAATCACGCACCCACTGTTGCCTGGGGCTGCAATGGTGCAAAAACGTGGTTAAAAAGCATGGATCCACATGGATCCTCAGGATCTTTGCATTGGGTCACCCCAAATTCACCATCAGATCACATAGCATGTCCATGGCTACAGCCTGCACCCAAAAAATCACGCACCCACTGTTGCCTGGGGCTGCAATGGTGCAAACACGTGGTTAAAAAGCATGGATCCACATGGATCCTCAGGATCTTTGCATTGGGTCACCCCAAATTCACCATCAGATCACATAGCATGTCCATGGCTACAGCCTGCACCAAAAAAAGCACGCACCCACTGTTGCCTGGGGCTGCAATGGTGCAAAAACGTGGTAAAAAGCATGGATCCACATGGATCCTCAGGATCTTTGCATTGGGTCACCCCAAATTCACCATCAGATCACATAGCATGTACATGGCTACAGCCTGCACCAAAAAAATCACGCACCCACTGTTGCCTGGGGCTGCAATGGTGCAAAAACGTGGTTAAAAAGCATGGATCCACATGGATCCTCAGGATCTTTGCATTGGGTCACCCCAAATTCACCATCAGATCACATAGCATGTCCATGGCTACAGCCTGCACCAAAAAAATCACACACCCACTGTTGCCTGGGCTGCAATGGTGCAAAAACGTGGTTAAAAAGCATGGATCCACATGGATCCTCAGGATCTTTGCATTGGGTCACCCCAAATTCACCATCAGATCACATAGCATGTCCATGGCTACAGCCTGCACCAAAAAAAGCACGCACCCACTGTTGCCTGGGGCTGCAATGGTGCAAAAACGTGGTTACAAAGCATGGATCCACAGGGATTCTCAGGATCTTTGCATTGGGTCTCCCCAAATTCACCATCAGATCACATAGCATGTCCATGGCTACAGCCTGCACCCAAAAAATCACGCACCCACTGTTGCCTGGGGCTGCAATGGTGCAAAAACGTGGTTACAAAGCATGGATCCACAGGAATTATCAGGATTTTTGCATTGGGTCACCCCAAATTCACCATCAGATCACATGTCTGTGGCCACAGCATGAAGCACAAAAATGATACATCCACTGTTTCATTCAGAATGTTTTTTCCCTTGTTTTCCTCCTCTAAAAACGATGTGCGTGTTATGGTCAGGTGCGTGTTATAGAGCGAAAAATACGGTACATTCTCCTCCCCCAAGTTCCAAAATGCCTAGTCCCTGCACTCATTTTAAAGCAGAGTTACCAGAGCTTCATACAAAAGCTTCTGCTATGGGCCAAAGAGTGCAATCCTATACGTGTTTTATTGCTGGTTTGTCAAGAAGTGTTATGTTGTCATAGTGAACTGCATTTTATTATAAATTCTTTTTTAACTGATGGGCTTTCTGCTGGAATGAGATATACTTCCAGGTAGGTGACTAGGGAACAAGCCCCACTGAAGACAATAAAATTAATTTCATCGATCATAACATTTTAAACTTGGAATGTACCACAAGGGTCATCTAGTCCAACCCCCCTGCAATGCAGGAATGTTTCACCCAATGTGGAACTCGAACCTGTGATCCTGAGATTAAGAACTGAGATTAAGAGTCTCATGCTCTACTGACTGAGCTATCTCAGTAAACAAGCAGACAACCAAGCTGTGAATCACATTAATTCTAAGTGATCTATTTAATAAGTTAAATATTTTTGAAGTGATACATTGAACAATAGCACAAAATGCATTTTGAAGATCCAAGTTTCATTACATGGAGATATTTCCACTTAAACATATGCAAGCAGGAACAAAACTTAACAGAAGTTTTCAATTGAGATCTTAATGCTTATACATTTTATCTTTTCCATGCAAGAGGCATTTTAACCGAATTATACGGAAACATCCATTGTTGATATTCATCTGATATCTTTTTGAGCTAATCGTTGTGCTATGTTTTAAAGAGTGTTTCCATTATAACTGTAACCTGTGCTATATATGCAAACACAGAGTAAATACATTATGTGTGAAGCAGCATAGAAGCTGCCAGAGTTGAAAATAACTCCAATACTAAAAGAAAGAAAAAAATCTCTTAACTATCTCTTGGGAGACCACGATGAAATATGGAAACAGATGTTCAGTTTATTTAAGACATTTATATCCCACCTTTTGCATAAGCCTCAAGGCAGTTAACATAACCACATATAAACAATAAAACACAAAAGACATAAAATAAAGCCACGGTGAGCTAGTACAAAAACTATTAAACAGCAACCTATACAATTTTAAAAGGGGTGACCAGATAATATGTAAAAATAAAAGGATTGGGATGGACTTTACCTGCTGCCTAAAGAACAGTAAATAAAGGGGGGAGGGTACTAAGTGAACATACTTATGGAATAAATTTATCCATAGAGAAGGTCCTCCAGTTAGATCAGCATGATCACTGTTCTGTATTATAGTAATAAATGCTATTAAAAATAAAGGATACCACATTAAACATTTTAATAAAAGGTCACAGCTAAATAAATGGTTGGAAATATGGTCTGTATTTGAAGAAGTCAACCACATTATATTTACAGAATTGTTTGGCAACACCACTCAAAGATGTAACAAAATGCCCTGGTATCTTGTAGCATTTAACTTATTTAATTTGTATCCTTTAACTTATTTAAGTTACTGCAGTCATTTGCAGGTTTTTACATACTCCTCAAAGATCAAGGCACTCTGACTATACACTCGTTTGTTGGGCAATCACTGCAGCTAAACAAGTTAGGTGGACTCAATATCAGCAACATATTTGAAAGTTAATGTCAGCTTGTTTCCTTGGAAGTGAGAAAATCTGCAGCAGAGAAAGCTCCAGCTGCACACTTGCTTCAATTATTGTGCAAGACAAAAAGATCTCCACTTTTAGCATTGCCTGGATATGTATAACGCTCAAAACCTAAACAGGACTGCTTCTTAAACAATATTCTTTGATTCCTGGTTATTGTAACAGGAGTCTCAAAACTTTCCTCCTCACCTCTACAAATGTATAGAAGAATCATGCCTTGAAAACCAATTCAGATGCTTCCATTTATAGTATGTTTGTCCTTCATGCCTGAGACATAGGTTGCAGTATTCCCAAATGTAGAAAGGCACTCACTTTTACGGTAGCTTGCCTAATCCCAGAGAACAATGCATTACAGAAAATTAGTCAACATATATAATGAGTGAGTCTGGTTTTTATAAAGGGAGAGGTAGTCTCAGACAACTTACAGTGAAATCCTATAACGTCTATTCAGAGGTAAATCCAACTGAGTTCACTGGGATTTACTACTAGGTAGGAGAGAACAGGACTTCAGCCTAAGAAGCAAACAGAACACCCCAACAGGCACTGAGTGCCGTGTAACAATAAGATTTTTAAAAATTCAGGGGTATAAGCCACAAAACATGTGGGATTTCAGCAGCATCACAATGCAGGAAATAAGGAAAAGTGAAGTGAGAGAAGGAAAAAGGGAGATTGAATGGGCAAGAAGAGACTCAAACTGCAGGAGGAGATATCAAAGAAAAAAATTTCTGGTGAATTTCCTCCACTTTGAAGAAAGTTTACAACTTTAGCGGCTCAGAAAAAAGTCAAGAGGGGAAACTGAGTAAGAAATGCACACACACATTGAAGCTAGAGGGTTGGAGACTCAAGACAGAAGAAAGCAAGTACTTGCTCACAAAGTGCATAGTGCAATTTGCTCCCACTATATGTAATGGTGGATGTCAACTTGACCAGCTTTAAAATATCAAATTTGTGGAGGATAAGGCCATTGACAGAGAGGCCAGATGACAAAGCTTGCCTAACCAACGACAGAATTCAGAGTCCCCACCACCTTCTGCACTGCAGCAGGTTGTTCAACTCTCATAGCAAGCAAGATTAGGGAGAGCCTAGACAACTGGGCCACTGAGGGGATTCTAAGCAACTGGAAGACTGATTTGCCAACTGTGAAGCCAGCTGCCATTTCAAAATGCTTTTTGCCAATGTGCACAGAGCAGAAGCATAAAAGAAGAAAGGAATGGAAGCTACTTAAGGCCTCAGGACAAGCATAGTTGAACTCTTATAGGAAGAACTGTACCTGCCAGTTCTCTCACATAAATGATCCCTCAATCCTCACCTACAGAATAAAAATGTCCTCTTCTCGTTCCTAGTCTAAGGAAAAACAGTTTTAAAAATGAAGCGCTATGGGGGCAGGACACAAGACTCAGAACCCCACTTTTGCTCTTTAACATGGTCCACTCACTGCCAATGCCTACGTTTTGCTTCCCCTTAATTCAATGTTACATAAATAGATGTTAGCACAACTCACATTTAACAAGCACAGTCAGCGCAGAGATCCACGCTGCAAAATTCAGCAGAAGACAGGACCGCAAATCTGCTTCCTCTTCCCTGCCAAATCTGTAAGCACCTGATATCAGGAGAGGCAGTATTAAGCACACAAATATCTCTGGAGAAAAGTCGTGTAAATTTAAGAAAGCACTGTGCTCTCAGGACATTGCACAAACAATATTAATCACCATTAAGTATTATACAGCTCACCATAGGGATTAGTAATTTTTGCACTGTGTTAAGCCACTATGATAATTTAAGAGGCACATGGCAGGAGGAGTTACAATATATTTCAGAAAGAATTTGATGGAGAGTTACCAACAGAAGCACACACTGTGGAGAAATGAGGAGTGACAGGGTTAGCTGAGATGAGTAACCACCAACTCACTTCTGATGAAGCGGATACACCCATAGTTTGGGAGACTAGCTGCAGGCTAATTTTGTCCTTCCCATAATTCAGAGATTTAACCTGGCCACAACCCATTCAGCATCGATAGTTTCTCTCTACATTCGTCCCCACACCCTTCACTAGCATATCTCACCAAGAGTCAATCTCAGAAATTGTTCTTTACATTCTCACGCTGCACCTTTCAGCACTATGCTTAGAAATAATTGCTTCAGGGCAATCTGATAAACCTAATAATTTGAACCAAGGCTTGGTGGAACTTAAATCTAGAATCTGCATCCATTTCCAAGGTTCAGTCTTGTGAAGATAAAGTACCTGTGAACATGTACCAAGCACTCTTTCCCATCCTGTCAAGTAATAACCACAACCAACTTTCAGGAGCCAAGAATGAAGATGAAGTTGGCATGTAAAGGAAATAGAAGGAATGTTTTCTTAGCTCCAGCATTTCAAAGCTAAACACAGACTGCAAACCTATTATATGCTTCCAGAGGGATAGCTTTGTTAATGTGTTGCAGCAATCTTTTGTGACATCTTAAAAGATGGATAAATTCATTTGTACACTAGAATTAGATACATGATGTGCTAGCACTTGACAGGAATGTAAATAGCTGCCTTGTATTGGGTTTATCTAGCCAAGTACTGTGCCCTCTGATGGGCAGTTGTTCTCTACATCACCTGGTGCTGGTTTCTTTTAACTGTTGATGCCAGGGACTGAACTTTGGACCAAGCATAAGCTGACAGTATGTACTTGTATCTCCCTACTGAGAAAAATGGGACCAAATAGCCCCAAAACTCTAGATAAGACAAACTAGTTTAAAGGAACGACAGCGGCATCAGCTTTGGAACAAGCTTTCACCCAAACAAGACCAACGAGTGCCCACGCAGCCACCCAAGTTCATGACTTTCCGGTCCTTACATCCTCGCTGTGTCCACAGGATACTTCTCTCCCCTCCCCCAATTGCTTACTCTTTGCCCTCCCTTCACTTTTTCTTCCAAAATGCCTTTTGTGACCCGGCTCCTCCTGTGCAAGTAATAAAAAAATAAAATGACAAGACAATAAGAGGATTATGACCTCCATAGGGTCTCTTTCCCCCACCTCCATTAGTGTGGCCTCTACAAATAGGCACTGTCACTATTACTTACATTTCATTTGCCACACTGACTTTACGACCACTTGCCTATACGAAATCCCAGTTGTGTGTGAGAGAGAAATCACCTATATTTTAGTCCACGAATGCTTATGCCAGAATAAAAACGCATTCGTCTTTTGGGTTGGTAGGAGACCATTTCTTATTTTCTTTTTTGTGTTCGTGTGTGATTCTTTCCTGCTGCAAGAGACCGATCCCTCTACAAAATATTGCCATTAGGGCAGCAGTTTTCCCAATTCCCTTATCTCCAACCCCCCCCCCCCCGGAACGAAGGGCTCCTTCATGCCATTTACAGGCCTTACCTTAAGAGCTCCCCCACCCCTTCAGCGAAAGGTAGGCCAGCGAAAGGTAACCCACCCTCCACCCCTTATAACCACGAAGGGAATGAGAAAGAGAAGCGACCCCACTCAGCCTCTCGCCGCTCCCCAGTTTAACTGCCCCAAAACTTACCCGCTCAGGATTCACGGGCAGCGGAAACGTGCCCGTTCTACGCATGCGCGAGCACGTCGCACGCCCCGCGGGAGGGGAAGAGGTCGGGGAGAAGAAAAAAAAAAGCGGCGTGCGCGTTTGCGTCAACACTTTCTCTTAGCCAATCGGGCGCGGAGGGAAGCGAGGTGGGCGGAGCCGCAGGAGGAAGGGGTACCGGCGAAGGGAGAGCGAGGTGTGTGTGTGTTTATGGGCGCGCGCTTGTCTGCGCGTATTACAGGTGGTGCTCTTGAGGGCTAGAAACTTGACGGGCAGGGGGAGGTGGATTTAACAGCCCGGGTAAGGCGAGTCCGGGCGGCGGCGGGCGCTGGGTGTCATTGTAGGGCAGGCTGGCGGCGGCTTGTTCCCTGTTAGGTGTTTTGCGTTTCCTATAAGGCCTGGTTCAGGGCCTGGTTTAGATTTGATGAGCTACTGAAGGTAATGGGGCCCTTTATTTGTCCAGCTGTCCTTCGTCAACAACAAATTGTAACTGTTTTTTTGTGTTGAATATATGCTACATGGTAATTTGTGGACCTAATAGGTATCTAAAGCCATTTTGCACATAACAGAATGTGTATTTAATCGAAGTAATTGCTGAACGAAAAACAGTTAAGAAATATATTAATATTAATACTTTTCCTTTAATTTTTTTGGCCCCCCCCCCAAGAGAGTGGAGCCCTAAGCTATAGCTTGTACAAGCTATAGCTTGTAAATCCAACACTGGCCTGGTTCTAGGACCGTGTTGTTATTTCATGTATCAGAAGGTACTTTTGAAAATGGGCTGGGTGGGGGGAATGCTGTCTGCTTTCAATGCTCCCCAAGAATCCTGAAAAGGTTGCTTTTCCAATAGGTTGCAGTGTAGCTTAATCCTCCTTAAGGCTCCTGTGTGGCTTACTTTGAGAGGAAGTTATCATTTTGTGGTTTTTCACTTGCCCTCAGAGATAGGTAAGTTGATGATCTCCAGATGTTGGGCTGGGTGAAAGGAGTGGGGGTGTTTACTTACTTAGGCTATAGTCACAAAGCCCAATTCCCACTCCATTAGTTCTACCTAAACCTGTGCCGCTGCTGCTACCATTCAGCCTGCTGCCTTATTCCCTCTGTAACCTTAACTTGATGTTAACATGGTAACCATGGGGGTACAGGTGCAGTACAAAGCCAGTCAGATGCAAATATTGTATCGGGTTGTATTTGAGTCGACCTAAGTTGGCCATGCCCATCGACTTCAACGGATCTGCTCCAAGTTGGGCTTAGAATGATGATCGCTCAATATATTTAGCAAATGTTTCACGGAATTGTAGAGTTGGAAGAGACCTCGAGGGTCATTGCAGGTGGGTTGGGAAGCCGTCCCACATTCCTCATGTCACCCAGTGGTGTCGGATGAAGCAAGAATCTGCTCATCTGGAGCTAGTTTCCCAATATATAAACATATTAAGATAGCAGTCCTATATGTGTTTACCTGGGAATATGTTCCACTGAACCCGGTGGGACTCATGAGTAGCTTTGCATAGGATTCTACTGCTAGTTGTTTTTTTTTAAAGCAGAGTGTCTGTATTACAATCGTTTGGAGAGAGAGGTGAAAATGTAAACCACAGGGTACGGGCTGGGTCAGAAAGGTAGGTATATGTATCTAGCATCTCCATGCTAGATCAGAGGTCAACATCATCATCATCATTATTATTAATAAGCAAACAAACAAACAAGTTTTGTATGCTCCCCTTATGAAGATGGTAGCACCCTCTCAATGTGAAAATACATCTTAGAGTGAGGCTTATGGCTGCAACCACCTTCACCAACCTGGTTATTCTGGACTGCAAGTCTCACTATCCCTGACCATTGACTGTGCTCGCTGTGGCTATTGGGATTTGCATTCCAACATCATCTGGAGGACCTCAAGTTGAGGAAGGTTTGTCTACATTATTCACAGGAATTATCATTCTCTACAGCTGTAGATTGTCTTGCATAAAATTCTTCAAACTATATGTATTCTTTAAAAGCACCCCAGCCATTCCAAAATACGATATTTCATAAATGGCTTTTTGTTCCAATGTTTCCAATTGAAAAACTGTGGGGTGGAGGGAAACCAAGCCCCCTCAGATCCTTCTGGGCCTTCACATCTCAATAGCTTTCCCCCAGGTGATTTAGAGCAGATCCTCCAGATGTCATTGGACTCTATGAGCCCTAGCCAGCTTGGTTAATGGTCATTGAAGATGGGAGTTGCAGTCCACCAAGAACTAGAGGGCCATAGGTACCCCAACCCCACTTTAGAGCTTCAGAGGCCATAGGTAGCATCTTAAATTGATCCCTGCAAAAAATTGTTTACCTGCTGTGTTAACCCTGAACTGGAATAATACAATCTATGTTGATTGCTGTGGTCAGCAGTCGGGCTGCCAAATTTGTACAGCCCTGCTGCAAAATGAAGTACATGAAGTATACCCCCAAACGGCTAAGTGACTAGTTTAAAAGTTCAAATTTGGTCCATAGGTTGCTAAAGATACTCATTACTAGGGGATTCTGAAAAAGGAACTTTTTGACTGAAATCCTTTGCTGATTTAAGTGGAATTAAGCCGTTTTGAATTCAGTGAACTATACTTATTGAATAACTGTGCCTATGATTGCACTAAAAGATGCCAGCAGAACAGAGTAAACTGGGTAGCAAGTGGACCTGTGACAGATACTGTGCCTGTTTACACTCTTGAAGCATTGTAAATTGCCAGCTGCCTTTTCTGGTTTCATATTTGCACCAGGTGGCTTTTTACACTGCCTTTAGGCATGGGAAAGCCACCTTGAAATATCACACCCATATGCATGGGGGCAAGGACTGATAAAGGCCAGTGTGCGCTTGATGCAGGGGAAAGTGCATTGTGTGGGCCAGGAGGGCAGAAAAGAGCAGTCAGAATTTGGCCAACAGAAGCAGTCCTCAATCTATGGGCCCCTCTGGCAAAAGGCATGTGTTGGGGCCTCAAGCATGTTGCTCCTAATTTGGGGACTGACACTGCTTTGATGCTTGCACACTCAGCTTGAGCTATATTTTATTTCCATGGTGCGCAACTGATCATATTCCCTGTGTCATTTAGCCAGCAGTGGGTGGGAGTTCTGTTTCCCCACAACAGCAGCTCTATATAATGCCAAAAAGTGTTTGCAGTTCAGGGCTCCTACAGATGACCTGCTTATGGAGCATTCATTCTGATTTGCATGAGTGTTCATTCAGATTGGTTCATGGGGATGTTATAGGACATTAAACATGCATCCTGATTTGTCTGCAGGTTGCTTTAAAAACTCCCCAAACTTTTCAGTGCATTTCTCCATCATATTCTTAACATAAAAAGTCCATTGATGGTTGCTATTTTTTTAAGTGGATTTGGTGATCCAGGGCAACAGAGCATTATAATCTGCTTTAATTGTGTGGTCTTAATTTCTACTATGTACTTGACTCCCTCCTGCAAAATAATGACTGACTGCTGCTGCTGCTCAAATATGGATGGATGCACAGGCTTTCTAGACTGTATCCTTACTTACTGGAGTTGAATAAATAGCATGATTCCTTTGCAGAGTTCAGTTCAGGCTATAATCCTCTAAATATTCTGTTGACTTGCATTTTATTGCTTTATACATTTTCAGATGCTAAAAACAGCTTTCATTACTCTGTTATAATGTAACAGAGTTACTCTGTTACTCTGTTACTCCAGCAGTAATATCAATGGCATCCGTTTGCTTGATTAGCCTTAAAATTAAACCTGTAGGGTTTAAACTGGTTTTTTCTCTCTATAGGCAGCCTGTTTACTGGTTTGGAGCCTTGCAGCCTGGTTTTATTGTTTGTCTTCCCTTTTTTCTTTTTTTCTTTTTTCAGGGGAACGCTACCTACAAGGAGGGGTATCTCACGGAACTCCTAAGATGTTTCCCTTAAAGGATGCAGAATTGGGAGCCTTTACCTTCTTTGCTTCTGCTCTTCCGAATGATGTTTGTGGGAGCAACGGCCTGCCCTTGACACCAAACTCCATAAAGATCCTGGGACGCTTTCAGATTCTTAAGACAATTACGCATCCTCGGCTCTGCCAGTATGTGGACATTTCCCGTGGAAAGCATGGTGAGTGTGCTTTCTACCCCCTCCCTGCCCCATAACTTTGGGGTGTGCATGTAGGAGTGTTACAGTAATTATTCTGTGCATGTGTTTCAGAGCATTAGACTTCAAAGCAGCCGTCAGCATTTTTTCCCCCCAAGACGGCAGTTTGCTTTTCCCCAGACTGACTCTGTTAGCAGCATTTTTCAGGCTTGTCTCTGTTGTTGCACATAACAGACACAGATGTATGCTGCTGGGCTGCAGGCCTTTGTTATCCTGTAGTTCAGATCACATTGATAATTTTTAGGTATTTCCTTTTCTTTTTCACACTCTGCTTATCTCTCTTTACTCCTTCCCCCCCTCCACGCTCTGCTCCTTCGCATGCTTTTTGGGGGGTTTTGTTCTTGAAAACTGCAGGCTTCTTTCAGTCCATTTGTTCCATAGGTTCCTGCAATTCATCAATCTGTCTTTCTTTTTATTTAATTCTTCAAATCTCTCTTTTGAAGTTCAGAGTTTAAAAGAAATGTGCTCCACAGAAGGCGGCCTCGACAGTTCTCTCCCAGTCCTCACATTTTGGAACTTATCAGTGTGCCATATATCATGTTGAAGATGAAATATAAGCTGTAATTTACTTATTCTGTTATTTCTGTTTGTATACCGTCCTTCATCCAAAGATCACAGGGTGGTTCACAACATAGAAATACAAAATAAGAACACAAAAATACATTTTAAAAATAAAAATGAACCCATACTCTCCTACCAAAAACACATTTTAAAAGGCCATAGGATGTTTATCAGCCAAAGGCCTCATTATAGAGAAATATTTTCACATGGTACGTAAAGATATGTAATGAAGGCACTAGGCAAGCCTCTCTGGAGAGAGCATTCCACAAATGGGGAGTCACTCATTCTCATGTTGCCACCCTGCGGGCCTCATGTGGAGGAGGCACACGAAGAAAGGCCTCAGGTGATGATCACAGGGTCTGGGTGGGTTCATATGGAAAGAGGTGGTCCTTGAGGTATTGCGGTCCA